AAACCATTAACAGTAATCATATTGAAATCAAAATACACTTACTTGATGACTAAAGCAATGACGGCGTGGGTTTCTCATGCCCCCGCATTGTCTAATGCCACCCACTCGTAGATATGTACGTGATACTACAAGTGACGCACTAGACCCCGCGGCTCAACAGAGAGGGGCTGTCCTACTGTATAAATGTTTTGTTTTTTGTTAAATTGTTGATGATTGCGATTTGCACGATTGATTTGCTTGCGAGACGATTCTACCCTACAACATAACCTTGAGAATTTAACGCTAGTGGTTCAATAATTCTACATCTTTCATGTAAAAATTCGAAAATCTTCTATTTTAGGAAAATTGGATTGTCTGTGTTATTTCCACTTTAATACGGTATCATTATCAACCTTTAATGTTAAAAGATGAATTAATATACTATCTGCATAAGACTGATTGAGCGCCTTTAAGGCTTGATAATGGGACTCAATTTTATTTAAAAATTCGCGTAGGTGTTTGTGATTAGACTTTATTACTGAAATAGTTTCAAACAAGGCTCTTATGTGATTTGCTACGATAATAGCTGGCCGATTGTAATGCCTTTCAAGAATAGACCATGCAGTATTGTAATTCATTTCCGAGTTACTTAACGATTCTATTAATTTTTCGGCTTCCTCTGATAAGCAAGACCTTAGATATGTAAATTTTTTACAGTTATTGATTTTAGTTTTATCATGAACTGATGATTTAAATTGATCAGAAAAATCTGGCCAATCTTCATAGATACCGCTAAATGTAGGCAAGTTAATCTTAGGAAGGTATACGTTTACTTCCTCTTCTCTGGAAACATTGTTGCTAATTGAATTGGTTGATTGCACATTAATAGAAGGTTCACATTTTGTAAGTAAATCACGGGCTGTATCTAATAGAACCGTTTTTCCCCCAAAGGGCAAGAAAACGGATATTTTGGGTCTTGCCGAGGCTTGACCTTACGGAGATTACCCTATCGATTATTTTCATGAACAGCCGTCAAAACTTACCTTACTATGTTGCGGAAGCTACATTCCCATGAAAATTCCCCTTACTCTTCTCAACTTATAGTTGCTTTCGCCGGCTAGAGGCGGCGCTAGACTTAGCGAACCGCCCTTTCTTCAGTACCTTCTCCCAAATGACGGCAAAACCTTACTCAGATCAAGCCTCGGCAAGACCCAAAATATCCGTTTTTTTGCCCTTTGGGGGGAAAACGGTTCTATTTTAGGTCTGTGCCTTCGGCTTGACCTTACGGAGAAGTGTTTATCCTCTGCCGGCACCAGCGTACTGTGATCAATTCCTTAAGTAAAACAACCAATCAGGAACAGCAAATTCACCACTCGACCTCATCAATGGACCGACAAGATTTAAAGTCATCAGAGACCAAACTAGATCTAATTCTAAAGATTGCCTAACCCTTTGAATCTTCCAGGAGGAAGGTTAGGCCAAGGGTTCACAATCAACCAAAAAATAAGAACCAGCAAGATAGATTACAAAAGAATCGCTTCCTTTTTTATTGCGCGTTTAGCTATACAACATTCTTAACCTAGGTTTTGCATAATAACAAAAATCTCATACAAATATAACTTCTTAAGAAGGCTTTTTTTAGTACGTACAAAAAGACCCATCCTTAGACAGGATCAAAATATCACTTAACAAAAAATAACTTAAGTAAAATAAACAAAAATCATACGGCTCTAAAAGACTTTCTCAAACTAATGTTTGTGTATGCACTCGGCTTTTGAACCGTCTTACAATAATGTTTAAAGAAATTCCCGGAACCACGCCAGTTACCTTTTTCTAAAATGTTGTCCAAAGCAACATTATTATGAAAATCAAAAGATGGTACCGCAAAACGGATAGTACCGGCGCCCATATCAATACCTAAATCTTTGAAAGGTTCTTTAAGCCAACTAGCTATTATGGCACGTGAAGCTGCTTTAACTTCACGCCTTGTTGTAATGAAAAGGGCTGATAAATTCGCTCGAGCCCTTCTTTTAGGCGCCGATATCTCTATTAAATGGTGGACCCATTTAACTAAATCGAGCAAGTGCTCTCCTGAACTTTTAAGTTCCCAACTCGATTGACGATTTTTGTCGCTGTCGGTCTTGGAACCGAATTTCGGCCAGAAGGTGTTAACTGAGTCGGACAGCTGACGGTGATCCTCGTCTAGGCTAATAAGCGTTAGGTCATGAACCCTACAACCTGAACCTAATAATAATAACGCCGCCGTATGGCGTGAAACCTGAAAAATACTATCTCAATTTGGAGGATGCGATTTCAGGCAATCAACTAAATCCAAAACATTCCAAATATGAGACATCGGCGTAGAAGAAGCTGAAGACTTAAGGCGTATCGCCTTCAACATTGATTTGATCAAGGGGTGAGCTGAAAGACTCTCATTATTTCCGGGTGAAGATAAAGAAACTACCACCGATTTATGAACCAGAATAGTTGAAAAAGCTAGTTTCCTAACTCTGAACAGGAACGATAAATACGAACAAATATCAGACGCCTTTGGACTATCCGATCTCACTCCTGAATGTCTACACCACAACAACCATTGTTTCCAGGCCGAGTTAGAAGTATTTAACGTTGATTTTCTTCAGACAGACTGCAAAAGGTCGATATCCTCTGTTGGTAGATCTGATACTAAAGGGGACCACCCCGTACCTTCCAAACCTCCAAACGAAGAGCTTCCGCCTTGGGTGGAGGTAAGCCTGTCGACAGATCGACCAGGCAATGGGACAAGTTCCTTAGAAGAATTGGCGCCGCCAGGGCCCTGCTCTTCAGATCCGCTCTCCAGAACACATTTTCCCAACGCGGAACTACTAGAATTAACACTCCTGATGATTTGTTCAGATGTTGTAACACTCTGGGAACCAGAGGGGGCGGCGGAAAGACCCAGGCCAGATCGAACTTCCAAGGTCTGCTGAATGCATTGATGAACACAGCTTGAAAGTCGCTTGCATTGATTGCCACGTAATTCGGGACGACTTTCGACTGATTCGAAGCAAACAAATCTATCTGTGGGGTTCCCCACCTGGAAAAATCATTGATGTTACCTCCGATTTCAGATGCCAATCGGGAAGAGTCATGTCTCTCGACAATCGATCCGCCAAGGTGTTGCAAAGACCGGGAAGGTAATAGGGAAGAAGAGAAATCCCTAACCTGTGGGTCAATAAGAGAATCTGTCTCGCAGCTTCTAGGAGAACTTTCGATTTCGTTCCCCCTCTGATTTCTCAGGTAAGCCACAACCGTCTTGTTGTCCGATTGGACTTTTCCACCAATAATTTCCTCAATTTCCTCACGGCTATAAACACGGTGAACATTTCCTTCCTGTTGATATGCCAGTTCATCTGGGACTGAGTCCACACTCCTGACAATCGGCAAGAGCATCTGTTGGTAAGAGAAACTTCTTCCTCGGCCGACTTTCCGGCTAAGACCTGCTCGCTCGTTGCAGACGTCTCAAAAAGAGGCGACCCAAAGGAGTCACTAGAGACGCGAAACCTAGTTTGCCTATCAAGGACTTCCCTGACTCCCAACTCCATCTGTTCGTGAATTGACGCAAGTTCGACGTTAGGAAGACTCATCTCGTTCTTCTCGATGTTCCAGATGATGCCTAGAAACTCTACAGACAACTTCGCCTTCAGAACCGGTTTCTCCAGATTCACCTTCCACCCGCGATCTTGAAACAAACTCACTGAGTATTCCAGCTGACTCTCTTCTTGTAAAAAATCCGGTATCTCTTCCTCGCCTTCTTGTAAAAAATCCGGTATCTTGCTTTAATTTACCAAACGAAAAGTTTTGGGATTTAGGAAACTGTTGAGTTGACGAAGATTGAAAATTTGATTTACCTTCCCATCCTGTTTTGGAATCAAAAACAGCTGGGACAAGAACCCCGAACGCGCTTCGGGGCTTTCTACCACCTGCTGTTGGATTAAACTTTCGATTTCCTCTGACATTGCTTTTGAGATCTTTGTTGAGAATTTCTTTACGAGATCGGCAGTGAACGGAATTGAAGGAGGCTTCATTACAAACGGAATCGAGTATCCTGTTATGGCTTTTAAGACGATCGGCGGTGCTCTTAATTCCTGCCAACGTCCCAGGAACTCCTTCAACTGATCTGCCACAAAGGGAGAGTCAAAAACTCCGCTCATGGCCCCGACGAGGTAACTTATCACTCTTCCTTGAACGGCTGCTCCGACTTTCACGACGATTCTTAGAAGAAGAGGAAGTCGACAAAGGAGGCGGAACATAACGTACTCTCCAAGATGAGCTTGTAGGCTTCGAGGACTTGGATTTAGAAGGCTGTTTACTCTGACTTGAGCGGGTTTCTCGCCGAGAAGAAAATGATTTGGAGCCGGTTCTACCCGAACGCGAAGGGAAAACCCGAAAGAATCCCCCTTGTTCCCTAAAGAACTAATTTATCGTCATTAAAAAGTTGAGTGGCCGAAGGGCGAATTTGAGCTAATTTTGACGTCTGAAAGTCAGACTTTGTTTTAAAGGTTTGGCGCCTATAATCAATAGCCTGAGCCCTATGTGCACACACAAATTGCAATAGGTCGTCCAAATAAGACTGAAAGGTAGAGTTACAATCATTTAACACTACTTTAATGTCATCTGCCATTGCAGGATGCTTAGCTGTCAAATTTTTTAAGGCTTCCGCCAAAGTGGGAGCTCTCAACGTCTGATTCATGATCAAAAGACACATCTTCAGCACCAGCTGAGGATCCTTCTCCTGAAGAAGCTGCACCTGCCATGGCATCCATCCAAGCACACATCGTAGCAAACATCGTCTCCATCCTGTCCTCAAGAATGTCCAAACGGTCCAATTTCGCTTTCTTTCTGGGCTTTTGCTCTGCAGAATGTTTAGAACGCCTCTTAATGAGGTCGGTATGTTACTGTTAAACGGTTACTGTTACTGGTCACATGATGTTATTGGTTCTTGACGATGTCAGTGAGGTTAAGCATTAATACATGTATTGTTGAATTTATACTAGTAAGAATGCGGATTTTGAAAAGAATTTATTTGGTGGAGAGAGGGAAAGAAGAAGGGATACGTTTAGGAGGAGGAAGGAGATGTGGTTGTGTAGAAAGGAGTATAAATGAAAGACAACCACAGGAGTGTTGCACATAAAAGGTAGAAGTGTGAAAATTGAAGTGCGAGGATGGATGTAAGTAGCGGCAACTGTACCCATGAAGTGTGTGGTGGTGTAGAAGACGTACAATATTGGAACGTTGTTGAACATGTGGAGGTTTTGGACGAGGTACATCGTAATGTCGTGTTACATAGAGGAGACTACGTGGATAGACAGCAGTACAGTGAAAATAAAGCAGTGAGGTATGTAAGTGACATCAGTCGAATGAAACAGTGGAGCGTAGCCCGTAAACTGTTTGAGTGCAAAATTAACTATAAAGCATGTTCTGCTTACGTCTTGTACTGCGATAGGAATAATCTTCGTTATCTACCTATGTGTGGGAGTTGTCGGTATGGAGCGAACAATGGTAGAATAATATCGTTGTATACGCGAGTACCGAATTTGTGGATGTTAGAAGTTCACCTCCACGACGAAGTCCACATTCATTGCGGATGGTGCGGAGAGATTTGCAGTTGCGAATTTGTTTGCACCCATAACCATCATTTAAGGAGGGATAGTGTATTTGAAGAAGGTTATGTGAGGGAAATTTGTAATAATATCGTAAATGTTGATGGAGCGTAAACATGTATATAGTACAATTTGTTCTGAAATAAATGATGATGTAATGTGGAAGTAGATTTAATAAAAACAACATGTAGGTAACAGTGGTATATATTTGAAGAAGTGTGTCAAGGTCAAACTTGTGGGAAAGGAAAGTTTGGCAGGGTGGGGAAGGAAAGGAAAAGGTAATTAGGAAAAAAGTTAGTGCAAGGATGGTGTCATCATAATGGACCGAAAGAGATGACGCCTTTGTTCAGCTGAAGTGCAGAGTAGGCAGGAAAGTGTATGGGTATCATCGATCTCATAAAGAAGACCCGACTTTTCGCAGAGGTATGAGTGAACCCCCTGACGACAAGGTCGACAGCAGGAGTTCACAACATCGACGTTATACATTCTACAGCTGTAACAAAAAAGTCGAGGTGTGTTATCAAGACATTCTTGACAACAGAACCCTGTTGCAACGTTACAGCTTTGACGAAGACGTTGACAAATGTTGCATTGCAACCGGGTGATAGGTACAATTGAATTGGTTGTTTGTCGGAATGGTGAAAGGACAGTGGATACACGAGAAAGATCCATTGTAAACCGCAAGACCCTTCTCATGAAGTGATGCTCTACGAAAGTTTCAATGGTTTATATAGGAAGAAAGGTGGTGGGGGAATAGTGGGGATGATGAAGTATTATTGGGGAAGGAGTATAGTATAGTGGGGGATTAGGAAGGTAGGAATGGTGACATAAGTTTGTATGTAATGTTGGAACAGTAGTAATTGTTTATTGGTGAAAAAGTGTAATAATGGAAGAAGCGTAGAGAAGATAAAAGTTGTTATTTATAATGTACTACCCGTTTATGATTTCAATGGAGAGGTGTCGCAGAAGAAAAGTTATGATAGTAAATTTGGTGGAAGTCGATGTGTTTCAAAAAATTATAAGTTAGTGTAATTAATGAGTTGAACGAGTGAGTAGTATATGAAATGTTAGGTAATGAGATGTAGTATAAGAACAGAAGAAACATATTTATAAAATCCCTCAACGTAATAAATGATGGGGGTAAAAGTGTAAAACGGACCATTTATTAATTTTTTTGAAGCATAAGGAGATACAATCTTGCAATAAGTTATGTTCTTAAAAGATGCTACCCAACAGAAGTTATTAGAATTTAAAAAAATAATAATAAAAAAAAATAAAGTTGACAAAATCTTAACACTTTCAAAGTTACTTAAAAAATAGAAGCAGTGGAAAAAAAAAAGTGTTCCTCTTGTGAAATGTGTGTTTAAGGGTAACTAAAATGATCCCACGTAAAAAAGTATGAAAATATTTTTTTTACATGGGTTAACCCCATACCTTCAGCCCCAGAAAGTGTATGAAGGGTGGACGATAGCGGAGAAATGTTTCAGTAAAAAAAGTTCGCCTTTCAGTGAAGAACGTTTTCCATCGAGTGAAAGTGGTGAACCGTTGTTATTAAGGAACTAAGTTTCTACCCTTAAGTTGTAGAATTAATTAGAGTTATAAGGAGTGATTTTAAAAAAAGAGACCCCTCTGCCACTGTTAATACTGACAACTGGGTCTACAAGTTGGCACTGTCGCAGTAGCTGAATTCACACAACTACCCCCCTCCACCCGCCCCGCCCCCCCGTAACCCATTTCCCTATGATGTTTTTCAGCGGATTTTCTTCTCACCCCATTTTCAACCCCATTTTGCAACCCTCGCATACCTATACACAGCGTCTCCTAGGAAAGATAAAATCGTAAAAAATCAGGTACCATCNTTAATGTTACAACGGAGGCATCAAATGCAGGCATAGGCGCAGTTTTGTCAGAAGGACCCACTCGCGCTGACAAACCAATTATGTACGCGAGCAGAACACTTAATAAACATGAAATTAATTACTCTACAATCGAAATAAAGTGTTTAGCTATAACAGGGGCTACCAAAACATTTAGACCTTATATCTACGATCGCAAGTTCACTATAATAACTTATCATAAACCACTACAATGGCTCTTTAATATTAAGGAACCAAATTCTAAATTAGTACGATGGAAATTAAAACTGGAAGAGTTTGAGTATAATATCATGTATAAAAAAGGTAAAGCGAACACAAATGCCGACTATCGCGAATCGAAGCAAACCCGATGGAAATGGAAGACGATTTACTATCATTGTTTAATAACCCAGGTGACGTAGCGCAACGTCAACTTTTAGATATAGACGAACTTGATAAATTACTACTGCTAGAACACCCTTAGCTAGGAAGCCAGTAAATACTAAAGTAATTTCAGATATTCAGATTAGACCACCCTGTATAGGAAACGATTACCTTGATCCTATTTCTTTACCAAAAACACACGAAAATCAATCCACTGTAACTCAACATTCTCAGGAGGAGAATACACAAGCAACATTATTAATTACAGACAAACCCCTTAATCAATTTAAAGTATTATTTAATTTTGTATTTTAGGTCTGTGCCTTCGGCTTGACCATACGGAGATTACCCTATCGATTATTTTCATGAACAGCCGTCAAAACTTACCTTACTATGTTGCGGAAGCTACATTCCCATGAAAATTCCCCTTACTCTTCTCAACTTATAGTTGCTTTCGCCGGCTAGAGGCGGCGCTAGACTTAGCGAACCGCCCTTTCTTCAGTACCTTCTCCCAAATGACGGCAAAACCTTACTCAGATCAAGCCTCGGCAAGACCCAAAATATCCGTTTTTTTGCCCTTTGGGGGGAAAACGGTTCTATTTTAGGTCTGTGCCTTCGGCTTGACCTTACGGAGAAGTGTTTATCCTCTGCCGGCACCAGCGTACTGTGATCAATTCCTTAAGTAAAACAACCAATCAGGAACAGCAAATTCACCACTCGACCTCATCAATGGACCGACAAGATTTAAAGTCATCAGAGACCAAACTAGATCTAATTCTAAAGATTGCCTAACCCTTTGAATCTTCCAGGAGGAAGGTTAGGCCAAGGGTTCACAATCAACCAAAAAATAAGAACCAGCAAGATAGATTACAAAAGAATCGCTTCCTTTTTTATTGCGCGTTCAGCTATACAACATTCTTAAACTAGGTTTTGCATAATAACAAAAATCGCATACAAATATAATTTCTTAACATGCTTTTTTTTATCAAGGCTAAAGTAGTACGTACAAAAAGACCCATCCTTAGACAGGATCAAAATATCACTTAACAAAAAATAACTTAAGTAAAATAAACAAAAATCATACGGCTCTAAAAGACTTTCTCAAACTAATGTTTGTGTATGCACTCGGCTTTTGAACCGTCTTACAATAATGTTTAAAGAAATTCCCGGAACCACGCCAGTTACCTTTTTCTAAAATGTTGTCCAAAGCAACATTATTATGAAAATCAAAAGATGGTACCGCAAAACGGATAGTACCGGCGCCCATATCAATACCTAAATCTTTGAAAGGTTCTTTAAGCCAACTAGCTATTATGGCACGTGAAGCTGCTTTAACTTCACGCCTTGTTGTAATGAAAAGGGCTGATAAATTCGCTCGAGCCCTTCTTTTAGGCGCCGATATCTCTATTAAATGGTGGACCCATTTAACTAAATCGAGCAAGTGCTCTCCTGAACTTTTAAGTTGCCAACCCGATTGACGATTTTTGTCGCTATCGGTCTTGGAACCGAATTTCGGCCAGAAGGTGATAACTGAGTCGGACAGCTGACAATGATGCTCGTCTAGGCTAATAAGCGTTAGGTCATGAACCCTACGACCTGAAGCTAATAATAATAACGCCGCCGTATGCGTGAAACCTGAAAAACACTATCTAAGTTTGAACGATGCGATTTCAGCCAATCAACTAAATCCAAAACATTCCAAATACGAGACTTCGGCGTAGAAGAAGCTAAAGACTTAAGGCCTATCGCCTTCAACATTGATTTGATCAAGGGGTGAGCTGAATGACTCTCACTATTTCCTGGTGAAGATAAAGAAACTACCACCGATTTATGAACCAGAATAGTTGAAAAAGCTAGTTTCCTAACTCTGAACAGGAACGATAAATACGAACAAATATCAGACGCTTTTGGACTATCCGATCTCACTCCTGAATGTCTACACCACAACAACCATTGTTTCCAGGCCGACTTATAAGTATTTAACGTTGATTCTCTCCAGGCAGACTGCAAAAGGTCGATATCCTCTGTTGGTAGATCTGATACTAAGGGGGACCACCCCGTACCTTCCAAACCTCCAAACGAAGAGCTTCCGCCTTGGGTGGAAGTAAGCCTGTCGACAGATCGACCAGGCAATGGGACAAGTTCCTTAGAAGAATTGGCGCCGCCAGGGCCCTGCTCTTCTGATCCGCTCTCCAGAACACATTTTCCCAACGCGGAACTACTAGAATTAACACTCCTGATGATTTGTTCAGATGTTGTAACACTCTGGGAACCAGAGGGGGCGGCGGAAAGACCCAGGCCAGATCGAACTTCCAAGGTCTGCTGAACGCATTGATGAACACAGCTTGAAAGTGCCTTGCATTGATTGCCACGTAATTCGGGACGACTTTCGACTGATTCGAAGCAAACAAATCTATCTGTGAGGTTCCCCACCTGGACCTCCGGTTTCAGATGCCAATCGGGGAGGGTCATGTCTCTCGACAATCGATCCGCCAAGGTGTTGCAAAGACCGGGAAGGTAATAGGGAAGAAGTGAAATCCCTAACCTGTGGGTCAATAAGAGAATCTGTCTCGCAGCTTCTAGGAGAACTTTCGATTTCGTTCCCCCTCTGATTTCTCAGGTAAGCCACAACCGTCTTGTTGTCCGATTGGACTTTTCCACCAATAATTTCCTCAATTTCCTCACGGCTATAAACACGGTGAACATTTCCTTCCTGTTGATATGCCAGTTCATCTGGGACTGAGTCCACACTCCTGACAATCGGCAAGAGCATCTGTTGGTAAGAGAAACTTCTTCCTCGGCCGACTTTCCGGCTAAGACCTGCTCGCTCGTTGCAGACGTCTCAAAAAGAGGCGACCCAAAGGAGTCACTAGAGACGCGAAACCTAGTTTGCCTATCAAGGACTTCCCTGACTCCCAACTCCATCTGTTCGTGAATTGACGCAAGTTCGACGTTAGGAAGACTCATCTCGTTCTTCTCGATGTTCCAGATGATGCCTAGAAACTCTACAGACAACTTCGCCTTCAGAACCGGTTTCTCCAGATTCACCTTCCACCCGCGATCTTGAAACAAACTCACTGAGTATTCCAGCTGACTCTCTTCTTGTAAAAAATCCGGTATCTCTTCCTCGCCTTCTTGTAAAAAATCCGGTATCTTGCTTTAATTTACCAAACGAAAAGTTTTGGGATTTAGGAAACTGTTGAGTTGACGAAGATTGAAAATTTGATTTACCTTCCCATCCTGTTTTGGAATCAAAAACAGCTGGGACAAGAACCCCGAACGCGCTTCGGGGCTTTCTACCACCTGCTGTTGGATTAAACTTTCGATTTCCTCTGACATTGCTTTTGAGATCTTTGTTGAGAATTTCTTTACGAGATCGGCAGTGAACGGAATTGA